CTGCTTCAGAGCCACAACACTCCACCCACTCAATTGTGCCACCTCAGCTGTCATGATACTGCTCACCCAGCAGGGTGATTTCAGCATAAGCACTTCACTACCCCCTACTGTTCTCACAGGAATGTTTTTTCAAGTAAAGTAGAAATTGCTTAACACACTATTGCAGCTTAATGGTTTCAGTTCAAAACCATAGTCTGAGCTGATTTCTTTCCATGATTGGATATAGCTACAATAAGGGATAGAACCACTCCCCAGCTCTAGTTCTATGATTACAACATTTATACTCTATGCAGGCACCCACATATTTTCACAGAAGCAAAAAACCACAAAGATATTTTGTGCAAGTTTCTGGGTAATACAGAATTCAGTTTATGTGTACTCTAGTTACATCTACTGCCATGTAATCTAGGCACAAGATCAATGCCTTTTTGAGGGACAGCAGTACAATAACATGGGAACTCACCTGGGCCCCAAATCTAATCCCAAAACGCTGGTGTCAGAGTTAATCCTACAAGCAGGAATACATTTGCTGCAACTTTACAAACTGTGGTTGACTGCTCATAGCCCTAAGATGAGGATGCCAGACTGCTGGAGCTCAAAGGATGTAGTGAACTTTGTGTGTCATTTCCCTTCTCCTAGGTTTGTTTTAATTGGGTAAATCTGAACTAGAAAGTTTGTAAACAAAACCAAATAAGTTGTTTATTCTGTTGTATTAAGAGTAACACCCCAAACAGCATTTGGGGGGGAAAATGAGCATTATTTGCCAAATCAAAACATTTAAGGTGTATCTTACTCTGCGTGAAAAGGCAGCACTTCCTCCTGAAAGAACTTCCTGGCACTCTCCCTGAACATATCATGGTCGGATGTGAAGATCTTCCGAGTGCCTATATCCATCAAAGTTTTAGCAGAAGATGGTTCCAGGCGCTTTGTGCCATGCTGTTCAGTTTGCAGGGGACTAAAAAAAGACAAATGAAAGCATCTGTTAGGACAGAGGTTCTCTATTTACACAACCCTTTTAAACCAGAGGAAACACCTGTGTTGTTAAACAGGTCACGCCTCACCTCTGGCACAGTTAGGTCCAAAGGATACCCACAATAAACACAAAAACCTAACATACACTGCACTTCATCGGGCTGTTAAAGGAGGCAAAGCAAGACTGGTTTGTCCTTAGCACTTCAAATGAACGAAACACAAAATAATAATACAAATAGAGATAAAAGAATAAAGTTTCTGTTCATTAGAGGTGCTAAAAAATCATTGCTGCTTCTCTCTCTGCCTGCCACACAACCTCCAAAATGCAATTCAGAGCCATTTAAACTGAGGGAGTAACTTTTTCAAAAAGTAAACTTTTCCTGGTGGATTTTGCTCACTCTGTACATGCCCCCCAAAATCCCAAATTTGCATGTCCACAACACTGAAAATTTACACACTGAAAATAAAACTGAGTACAACATGGATTTGCACACCCCAAGGGGTGTATTATACTCTGCATTATCACATATAGCTGAATAGTCCTTGAAACTAATACTAATTCATTCTAAATCTCGGTATTTTTGCTGAGCAGGAAGACAAATCCTCCCCAAACTCTGATAAAAACACAGGTGAAAATAAAATGCTGCTTCAACAAAAAAATAGAAACTGAAACAGTGGTAAACGTCAACCCTAGAAACCACACAAGGAAAGTATAATTATGAGACAACAAGGAAAAGTTTATAAAGTTTTTGTGAGGGTTTAGAACATCGAGGATGGCACACTACTCTAGGGATGAAATGAAAATTCACTTCTTATATTTGTGCATTGGGTTCTTTGACTTTTACTGCCACAAAAAATCAGAAATCATAAGTACACAGCAGAGCTGTAGTTAATGGAAAAGGCATTTGCATTCTCAAATCTCTCCCCAATTACTGAGCACAGCAACTGTGTGTAATCCCACAGAACTAAGCTGAGGTCACACGTATTTACTCCGTTACTGAGACCAAAGTCTTAATTTACTGTCACAAGCAGCTACTCAGGCTTCCCCAGCCCAAGGGATTAATCACCCCTGAACCGCAACCTGTAATTCCTTCTAATGCTGTTTGGAAAAACATGGATACAGGAGCTTGCTTGTTGATAATTGGTAACCTCAAAGCCAGGCACACTCTTGGAAAAGCTCCACCTTATTTTTAAGGCTATTTAGGATGACTGTTGAGCTTTATTTACGCCCACCCTTTCTTTCAACTTGTGCTCACAGCCAGCATGTTGCGCAGAGCGTAAGGGCCACTCCTCATGCCAACCACAGGCCTGGCAGAGAGCAGAGGAAGGTCAGGGAAGGTGTGAGCACACTGCTGCCCGAAATGACCCGACCCCAGCGCCTCCCCGACCCCAGCGCCTGCTGCCTTGGGGGAACGGCGTGTCCCGCCAGGCCACGGCTGGTGTCACCTACCACCAGCACAGCACCCGGGGAAGCGGGACAAAGGTCGGCACATCACGGGGATGAACGGGGCGCCGGGACAGCACACACTCTGATAAACACACTTAAATACTCACCTATAGGCCCGTTCCTGTACTCCCCGCAGCGCAGAGCACACCTATGCACCACACACACACACAC